TGTGCTGACTTGAGCTGGCCGGGCGCCCTGCAGAGCAGACGTTTTCATTTTGAGGAAGTCCAGCTCGTGTTTCCTTTGGTGGCTTGGACTAAAGCGGTCACGTCCAAGAAACCACGGCCTGACTCAACGCAATGATTTACTTTTCTTCCCAGAGCTTTATGGTTCCATCCGCTCCGTGGGCTTAGATTTCTGCTGCGTCTCGTGTTCCGAGTGCATACGGTGTGAGGTAGGGCCCGACGTCACTCCTCGTGCGTGGAAACCCGGTTGTCCCAGAGCCGCCGGTCGACACTGAGTCGTCTGGGTGCTCGTCGAAATCTGCTGGCCGGGAATGTGCATGTTTGGTTCTGGATTCCCACCGATGTATCCTGGACCATTCCAGGGCGTCCAGACGGGCGTCCCCATCTGTGTGTGCCCGGACCACATTGCCTTGATCACTGAGGCTTTGCAGCCCGTTTTGAAATGGGGAAACGTGAATCTTCCAACTCTGTTCTGCATTTTATGTTTTTTTAAACGTTTGTTTATTTTTGAGAGAGAGGGAGAGAGAGCGCGTGTGTGCGAGTGGGGGAGGGGCAGAGGGGGGGACAGAGGATCCGAAGGAGGCTCCGGGCTCTGTGCTGACAGCAGTGACCCCGATGTGGGGCTCAAACTCACAAACCAGGAGACCACGACCTGAGCCAAAGTCAGATGACGCTTCGCCCGACCCACCCAGGCACCCCCCGCACTTTCCCGCATTTTCCATTTTTTTTTTTTTTAATTTTTTTTTTTTTCAACGTTTATTTATTTTTGGGACAGAGAGAGACAGAGCATGAACGGGGGAGGGGCAGAGAGAGAGGGAGACACAGAATCGGAAACAGGCTCCAGGCTCTGAGCCATCAGCCCAGAGCCCGACGCGGGGCTCGAACTCACGGACCGCGAGATCGTGACCTGGCTGAAGTCGGACGCTCAACCGACTGCGCCACCCAGGCGCCCCTCGCATTTTCCATTTTAATGCATTAAGCTTGGCTTGGCTCTTACTTCCTGACCATGTAACTCAGAGCCAGCGTGTTCTCTCACACGCTGTTCGATACCCCATTATACACGCGCTAGTCACCCAGCTCGTTATTGAGCGCTCACTGTATGCCGGGCTCGGAGGGAAGCCCAGAGCTGGTGGAGCCCAGAAGGAGCCCAGGCAGAGGCTAGAACCAGGTGGGCGAGGCCTTTGCCCGGTGACAGGAGCAGCGGGGGTGGCGTGGGTGTTCGTTCGGCCCCCAGATCAGCCTCCAGCCCTGGCCTGGCCTCCAGTCATAGCGGGGGCCAAGATGGATCCCGGGCTCGCCTCCAGGAAGCCGCCAGGCTGGGAAGGCCTGGAGATGGACCCTAAGGTTCACCAGCCCCGTGTGGGTCCCCAGGGTGACAGGAGCAGCAAGGTCCGTCACATCTCTGCACTCTCCTCTCCTCACTCTGTTCCAGCCCCTTGGGCCTCTGTGCTGATTCCCCAACTCTGCAGACACAGCCCTGCCCCAGGGCCTTTGCCCCGGCTCTTCCTTCGTCCTGGCAGGCCCTGCCCCCTCGAGCATGGCTGGCTCTTCCTGTCCCCTCCCACCCGTGTGCCTGTGGCTCAGGCTGGAGCCCGGCCACCCGGAATCACGTGCATCCGTGCCCACTTTTTCCCGGGGAACCTCAGGCAGGTGACCTGGCTTCTCGGGGCTGTGGCACCCACCTCACCGGGCTGTTGGGCGCATCGGGTGGTGTGGTTCAGACCCAGCGGGCCTCAGCTCCTTGTTGCCGTGCCCACGCGCCTGCTGCTTTCTAGCCGGTCGCTGGGGCCACTGGGGTGTTGGAGTCGGTGGCTCAGTGGTTAGAGACACTAAGCAGGCCGTGCCCCGAGGCTCCTCCTCCAACACTTGCCTCCTGAGCCAAGCCCCTGGTGCCCTGGCCCCAGACCTTGTCATGACTCCCGCGGTCACCACCAGGGAGGAGGGAGCGGGTCCCGGTGCTGGAGGCACTGCGAAGTGTGGGCACGTGCCTCCCTGGGCTGTAGCGAGTGCTGCCCTCACGGGGCTCCTGGCCTCGAAGGGCGCGGTCACCGGAGGGCCCACAGATTAAATAGGAGGTTTAAACTGACCGGGGGTAGGAGTTATGATGGAGGTGGAGAACGGGTCAGGGAGCCGGCTTCAGCCAGTTGTGCAGGAAGGTCTCGCTGAGGAGGAGACGATCCAGGCCTGAACGGTGAAATGGAGAAGAGTATCCTAGGTAGAGAAGCGAGTGCAAGGGCCCTGGGGCAGGACTGTGCCTGGTGCATGTGAGGAACGGCAAGGAGGTCGCGTGGCAGGAGTGCAGGGAGTGAGGGGAGGCAAAGGGGAGGGGAGGGCAGGGAGGCCATCCGTCTAGACGCCCCCCACCCGCTGTCCTTCTCTGTGCTCTCAGGGGCCACGTGGGAACCCCCAGTGTGTCACGTCTGTTGCTGTGAACACAGACCCCGAAATGTGGCAGCTTTAAACAACAGCACACGCTTCTTACCTCTCGGTGTCTGTGGGTCAGGAGTCCAAGGGTGGCTGGGCGGGGCGGTTCTGACACAGGGTCTCTGACGAGGTCGCCCTCCAGCCTCCTGCCCCATCCGAGGGCTCGACCGGGGCTGGAGGAGCCGGTCCCAAGCTGTTGTCTCAGGTGGCTGCCGGCAGACGGCCTCCGTTCCCAGGGCCACTCGTGTGTCCTCACCGCTCGGCGGCCGCTTCTCCCCGGCTGAGCGGCCCGAGAGCGAGCAAAGGTGGCTGCGTCTGGCCTGGTCAGAGGTCGCGGGCCCGCACTTTGGCCGTACCCCGCCGGTCACGCCCACCGGCCGCGGCAGGAGCCGTGGCTACCCGGGGACCAGGCCGGCCGGGGGCCATCCTGAAGGCTGGCCGCCCAGCGGGCAGCTTGCGTGGCTTCAGAGCCTCCCTCCGTCACCCGTAGAATGGGGCAGTCGTGGCCCTCGCGGGCCTCACGCAGAGGGACCCTCGAGGTGCGGGAGGTCCTGTGGCAATCCTGGAGCCCGGCCGGGCGTCGGGGGCCTGTTGCCCGCCTGGCTCAGCCTCTGTGCCAGACAGAGCCGTCTCCGGCCCCCTGGGATTCTGGACGCCCAGACCTGCCCTGTCGGGGAGGCTGGCCCCCACTGGGGAGGGAGGGAATTACTGGCATTCGCGAGAGTGCCCGGCCTGGCTTCCCACCGTCCGCCTGTCTCCTGGTCGGTGGGCACCTGCCGCGAGTGACCGGAGCAAGAGGCCTCTAGCCTAGAGGCCAAGGGGGCGTCTGGCCGAGCAGCCCTGGGCTGCCTCAGTGGCTCTTGGAATTCAAGTGCAGAATCTGCAGCCCAGCCCTGGCTTCCGGGGAGTAAAAATATATCTGGGAAGAAAACTGGGCCAAGAAACCTCACACGTTGGTCCTGAGACAGCGCGTGATCCTTCATTGGGCACCTGCTGGTGGGTGGGGGGAGGTGGGGGGAGGTGGGGGGAGCTCTCTCCGCTCCTGCCCTTCCGTCTGCGGATCTCGCCCATCGGCTGGCCCTTCCCGAGTGGAGGTCTGTGGTTGAGGGTCCAGCGTCGGTCTCCCGGTGTCCCCTCGAGGAGCCCCGATCCCCCACACCTCGGCAGGGTGCCGCTGGCTCCGGGGTGGGGACCCAGGCCTCGGCACGTGACCTGCAGGACAGTCAGGCGCCTACTTGGGGGTGGGGGGGCCCCCACAGGGAGGACAGCAGCACTGGCCGGTGGGGAGACCGAGTCCTCAGGGCCCCCAGGTGCTGCCAGACTTGAAGCTCATCTTCAGTTAGGTCGGGGCTCGGCAGGCTCCTCCCGCGAAGGGCCGGGTGGTCTCTCGGGTGGTCTCTCTCTTAAGCGTTCGATTCTGCTGTGGGAGCGCAAAAGCCACGGCAGAGATTGGTAAATGAGTGGGTGTGGCTTTGTGCCGATAAAACTTTACTTACAAAACAGACGGCAGGGGGGTCTGGTCTGCAGGGCACAGTTTACTGGCCCCTGAGTTGTGTTAACAAATAATCCCTCTCCACATAGTGTGTGAGTTAGGCTTCTGTCTCAACACAAAACATCCTAACACCACTTCTTTGAGCCTCAGTTTCCGCCTCTGAAGAAGAGAGATGAGAGGCATAGGCTAGGCCAGGGGGGAAGCCCCATGGGCCCGTGGCCTTGCTGGGCCTTCCGCCCTGCAGCAGATGTCCAGCTCAGGGAACCTGTGAGAGCCACATTCCCCTCGCTCTTCCCCCGGGGCTCTTGCTCTCAGCCTCCTCCATGCAGCCTTCCAGGGTTTCTCAGCTGATGCCCTGTGCCTGGGAGCTGGTGCGGGGGGGGGGGGGGGGGCCTAGTCATGGAGGGACACAGGGAGAAGTGGCCTGCCCTGCGGGGCTCTGGGAGGAGCCAGGAGACCCCTGAAGGCGGCGCTGTGGCGTGGGTTTCCGAGGGAGAGGCTGCGAGGAGAGGCCGCACCCACAACCACCAGGCCCCGGGACAGGCTCCGGGAGAGAGGGCGGTCGTGGAGCAGAGGGGAGGTGGGAGGTGGCCCAGGGCCCAGGGCCTGAAGGAGCCCGAACGGTGGAGGACCAGACAGCAGCCCACAGGCTGGGCAGTGGGCGCCTGGTCAGGGGATGGCGAGCCCGGGGCCCCAGCGTCCGAATCTGTGGAAGACGAGCTGTCGCCCTCTGCGCCTCTGATGGTGTGGGTGACCTCAGGCAGAGTGTCCCCCGAGGGCTGGGGACCAGACAGAAGCTGGCGCCGGTGGAGAGAGCCCCCGGCCGGGAGCGCCTGCGCCTAGGGCAGTGCGGGAGTCGGCAGCATGCGGAGCTCTGCTTCTGGGCCGGGCGGGGGCTCTGCCCTTGGGCCCAGGGACCCGCGTGGGGGTGGGGCTCACACAGGTGACCGGATGGCTGCGGGACACCGGGCCGGGTGCGTGGGAGCAGCGTTCGGCTTCAGGAGCAGCCGCTCTGCCCGCGGGGTCAGGGAAAGCCACCCAAGGGGAGGAAGCTTCTGGTTGCCGCGAGGGCGGCCGGCTTGGGCTGCCTTGAGCACACCCGACCGCCAGCCCTTGCGGGCGGAGCGCGTCTGCAGAGACTCTGGAGCCCCTGCCACAGAGCTACCTTGAACTTGCCTCTGAGACCTCTGGGCCTCAGTCTCCCCGGCTGTAAAGTGGGTCCAGTGGCGGTCGTCTCCCGGGAGTGTTAGGGGGTGGGGGGTGCGGCTTTCGGGGCGCCAGCCCAGCGCTGGGGCGTGTGCGCGCCTGTAGCTGTTTAGTACGGGGAGCTGCAAACAGAAGACGGAAGTAGACAGGAGAGTACGGCTAAGCTATTTTTATCACGAAATATTTTGTTATTTTTTAATGTTCATTTTTACACATTAAAAGTAAAGAGAGAGGATCCCGAGCAGGCTGTCAGCACAGAGCCCTACCCGGGATTTGAACCCACGAACCGGGAGATCATGACCTGCACCGGAACCGAGAGTGGGACCCTCGGCCGAGACTGAGCCGCCCAGGCGCCCGATGCGTTGGCGTCTTTTCTGGGCGCCTCGGATCTTTTGTCCCTAAATCTATTTAGACAGAGAACCAGTGTGTCCCCAGAAACGGGGCCCAGCACGCAGGGAACGCTCCCAGAGTTTGGAACGCGCGAGGGAGCGAGTGGTGGACAGAATGCTCTTTGGGAAGCTGGGAATCAGGACAATCTGTAATTCCTTACCTGCCACCATTCACCCTTCCGGGTGGTTCGGGGTGGTAAACGCAAAATCGTGAGAGGAAAAAACTATCCGCGAGGCAGAAAGGGACTTTCTTAGTCCCGAAGCCTTCGTTTGAGACTTGCCCCCTAGTTCGAAGTTTCAGCCTTTGCCTGAGTCCTGCCCCTGCTGAGGCCCCGATGGTTCCTGGCGCGACGGGGACTTTTGTCCCCCCCCCCCGGCTGTCGGCTGTCGGGGTGAGAGCCGGGATGAGCTTCCCACGTGCCGGGACTGGACGCAGCACTGGCACGCCCGCTGTGGTCTCTGCTCTACTGGGAAGGAACAGGTCCCTTCGGTGACGTGTGGCCCGAAATCAGTGAACCGGGGGCGTGGTAGAGGGTGGGCAGGGGTGGGGTGGGAAGGGACCGCTCTAGGCAGCGTGTCAGGGGTGGACCCTCCAGGAGGCGATGTTCAGGCTGAGACCATCTGAGTGCCGGCCGCGTGGAGATGCAGGGAGGGAGCCTTTGAGGCCGCGGGCATGTTGACGGTGGCGGCTAAGGCCCCGAGGTGGGACCGTGCTGTGCCGGCCACAAAGGTGCAAAGGTGCGTTGAGTGAGTGCGTGTGAAACCCACGCCCACTCCTGGGGCCAATCCACCCCAAACGCGAGCTTCTCCAAAGCCTGAAAACACCCGGCAGCACAGGGCCAGGTTGACCTTTAACCCGCATTCAGAAAATTGTCAACCGAGGGGCGCCTGGGGGGGCTCAGCGTGTTGAGGGTCAGACCTTTGGTTTCGTTGGGGCCCCACGTCAGGCTCTGCGCTGACAGAGTGGAGCCTGCTTGGGATTCCCCCTCCCTCCCTCCCTCCCTCCCTCTCTCTCTCTCTCTCTGCCCCTCCCCCACCTCTCTCAAAATAAATAGACGTTAAAAAGCAAAATTTTCAACCCTACTGAAAAGTTGAAAGCAGCGGATGGTGGAAGCTCACTTCGTACTGCTTGGATCCCTCCATTGACCTTCTGCTGCGTTTAGTTCACATACTCCCCGCCCCCCATGCCCCCGTCCGCCCCTTCCCCGCGTCCCCTCCCTGCTCGGGGCTTGTAGCACCCCTGGAGGACGTCCCCGCGTCTGCTGATTGGAAAGGGCCAGCTACCGAAGAGATAAAAACTCACGCAAGCGTGGAACCAGGCGAGGCAGGCGTATAAGGAGCAGGGGGTGGGCGCAGAGGGCACAGACTCCCAGACTCCCCATTCTCCCCGGCTGGGAGCGCCGTGACCTTGGGTTAGCTGCCGGCCGCCTGCTCTGCTGTGTTTAGTTCTTCTCTTAAAAAAGTTTTTTTTCATGTTTGTTTATTTATCTTGAGAGCGAGAGCGAGTGTACGAGCCAGGGAGGGGCAGAGGGAGAGGGAGAGAGCGAGCAAAATCCCCGCCCCACGTGGGGCTCGAACCCACAAACCCGCGAGATCGTGACCTGAGCCAAAACCAAGAGTCGGCCGTGGGGCGCCTGGGTGGCTCAGTCGGTGAAGCGGATGACTTTGGCTCCGGTCGTGATCTCCCGGTTCGTGGGGTCGAGCCCCGCGTCGGGCTCTGGGCTGACGGCTCGGAGCCTGGAGCCTGCCTCCGATTCTGTGTCTCCCTCTCTCTCTCTCTCTGCCCCTCCCCTGCTCACGCTGTCTCCCTCTGTCTCTCAAAAATAAATAAATGTTAAAAAAAGAAAAAAAAAAGAGCTGCTCAGCTGGCTGAGTGGCCCAGGCGCCCCTGCTGCATTTACTTCTTGGGTTTTCTGAAATCTTTTCTCTCCAACCTCCGTTCCTTTTCTTTTTTCTTGTCTTGCTGCACCGGCCGGCGTCCCCACCGCCGTGGTGGCTCTCGGCTCGCACCGTGGTCCCTGCTCCAGTCGGCTGTCGCTGCGTAACAGGCCACCCGGAGCTTCAAGCCTGAGCAAACAAGTGCGTGTGTGCTCGCGGCTCTGGGGTCTCGCCCGGGGTCGGCGGGCGCCTGCACCCTGGTCCCGCACCTCGGCTGGGGGCCGCCTACCTCCCCGGTGCGGTCGCCAGTGTGGCGAGGACCCCCGCTGGGACCTCGGGGCTCGGGGTTCCCAGAGGGCAGAACCACACCATAGGGTTTCTCCGTTGCACCGCACCACTCGGAGCATCACGTGGCTGCAGAGAGCCGGCCGTCTCCACTCAGCCGCGGCCCTTCCGGTTCGGAGAGAGGACTTCCAAGTGTGGCTCGGCCGGCGGGGGGCCGGCGGGCGCTGAGGGTTGGGATTGCCACCCCCCCTGCAGAGGTTCCCAGCGTCCCCGCAGGCTGCCCGCAGGGCCCCGCTGCTGAGGCGGCCGCGCGGCGGGAGGCCCAGGGCCACCGGGTCGCCCCGGCCGATCAGGGAAGTGTGTGAGGCCACTTCCTGGCTTCTCGGGGCTGCTGGCCCCGCTGCCTTGTCCTCGCGCCTTCTCGTTCGCCCTGAGTCTCGGGGAGCCGGCACCCGGCCTGGGCACATGCAGCCCTGATCTGGGAAGCGGCCCCACCCTGGAGGCCTCGTGTCCCCCTGCTGCCCTCTCCAGCGCTGACTCCACACTCAGCTCTGACGGTGTCCGTCAGGGGGTGACTGAGCAGACCTGGTCTCTCTGTAGTGGGGGAGACATAACACATGAGCCCCAGGAGCTGCTGGGTGCCTGGAAGACCAAGAAAGCCACGGAGATGAGGAGAGTGACCTCAGAGGGACTGTTTTGGGCAAGGTGGTTGGGGGACACTTCACAGGGGGTGACATTTGAGCCAGGTCTCAGATGAAGCAAGGGAGCAAACCCAGCAAGGGTCTTGGGAACGGTGTTTCAGGTGAGGGGGGAGCCCAACCGGTGCAAAGGCCCTGGGGCAGGACCTGCCTGTCATGATGGAGAAAAGGCGAGGAGGCTCATGTGGCTGGAGCAGAGTGAGGGGGAGAGAGGGAGAGGCGGAGGGCCGAGGGAGGGAGGACTGGGGGGGGGGGGGGGGGCCACCTTCGTGCAGGGCCTTGGGGACCCAGGGGAGGACTTGGACTTTTCCCCCAGGGAGGTAGGAGTCTTGGAGGGCTGTGGGCACAGGAGGGCGGGACGTGACTCAGGTGCTCACGGGCGCCCTCTGGTGGCCTCCGTGGGGAGACTGGGCTGTGTGGAGGACAGACGGGGGACCAGGGTGGAGGGGCTGCGGCGGTCCTGGAGCTGTGGGCCAGGGACAGTGGGCAGACTTGGGGTGGGTTGTAAAGGCACAGGTGGGTGATTGTGCTGAAAGACAGACGGCGAGGCTCCTCCCTGGGTCTTGGGGGCCCACAGTCCTTCCCGAGCTTTTTGTTGCCACATCCAACAGATGTGGAGACGAGGCTCCCCCGAAGCTGAGACGCGGGCAGAGGGGAGAGGAGAGGGTGTGTGTCCACTCGTCATGGGTCAGTCAACGCACAGGCCCAGCCCTGAGGGAGGACGCCCCCAGCCCCCATGAAGAGGACGTACACTGATGTCATTGTTGCCTGGAGGGAAAGGACAGGGTGTGCAGGATGGGGCGGTGGTAACTGGGGTGGGGGTAGGGGGACCATCCAGGGCAAGGGCCCTGAGGCCAGCCACTGGAGCAGGGAACAGCTGATAGGAGGTGGGTCCTGCAGGCCGGGAGCAGGGGCTCTGCCTGGGCTTTGGCCTGCTTTAGGGGCTGAGAAACAGGCTCAGAGGGAAGCCTCTGAGGGCGTGAGGAGCTCACCTCCTCCCTCCGGAGCCACGGGGTGGCTGTGAGGTCACCTGCACGGAAGCGATTAGAGCGGCCTGTGGCAGGGTCCTGTGGTAGGGCTGGGCGGCGGGCTGGGGAGAGGGGGCCCGGCTCTGGAGCCCTAGCTTCGGGCACCCACGGAGGCTCAGCGAGACCACAGGAAAGGTGCTCAGAGAGGTGGAGGGGCTCGCCTGAGGCCACACAGCGGTGGGCCGCAGGAGAGCCCAGCCTCAGCCCTGCGCGCGTCCCCTGCCCCCTCCGCCCCTGCCCAGAGGCTCTCTGCGCTCTCCCCCTCCCCAGGCTATTTTTAAAACTTAATTTCCTCAAAAATTGGGTGGCTCATCCAGAAGAGAGTGGGTCACGTCTTGGGCTGGGAGGAGCGACATCGTGGTGTGGCCTCTGCCGTCCCAGCCGGCCTGGCTGGTGGTGGCAGCACAGGGCAGGGCCGTGACCTCCAGCAGTGGACTCGCCGTGAGCAGGAAGGGAAGGCCCTCCAGGGCCGGGGGGGGCCACGGTTTTTGAGGGTTTTCAGCAGCAGGGGTGGGGGGGTCCTCACAGGCACGGTGCTGTGCTGGGGGGGTGGGGCAGACGGACCGCCGCGGGGCTTCCTGCCGGAGGAGGCCGGTGTGGACGTGGCTGGGCAGGAGGGCGAGCAGGGCTGTGAGTGGCCAGGCCGCCCCCCGACCCGCTGAGGAGCCTGAGGAGCCGGGAGGACTCGGGAGCAGGCGGAGCCGTGGCAGGGGGGAGGCCGGGACCTCGGTGTTGGGCCTGCTCGGCCTGGGAGCTGCAGAGGACGAAGTCCAGAATGTTCTGCCCTGGTCCACCGCCAGCTTCTTGCCTTGTCTCCTCTTCCTTCACCCACAGCCCACACAGAGCACCATGAATGATTCTGTCGGGCAGCCAGCAGAAACATCCCGTCAGCTTTCTAGCACCTTCTGCGACCCGCTTGCCTCTAGCTGAGCCTCGGGATGGGCCCACGTTCAGGCCCGGGGCCCGGGCACCCAGGTTGGAAGGTCTGTGGGTGGGCACCTGGGGCCTCGGACAGGTGAGCCAGCCTCCGTGTGTCGGCTTTGACCTCCTGGCTGGGGTGTTCTCTGCCGTGACCATGGCACCGGCCGGTTGCCCACCCAGCCTCAGTTTCCCTGCCTGGACCATCTCCGGCACCTGGCTGACTGACGCACAGGGCAGTGGTGGCACTGGGGTGGTGGTTGTGGCTGAAAGAGGACACTGGTCACCCACCCCGCCCGCCCGGGCCTGCCCCACATTCAGTGTTTCCTTTTCTCAGTAAGTCTAATTCATACCATAAAATTCACGCTTTGAGGAACACGGTTTAGTTTTTCGTGTATTCCCAATGTCGTGCCACTGTCACCACTGATTCTAGAACATTCTTATCCTGCTAAAGGAAACCCCATTCCCTTTGACAGTCACTCCCCAGTCCGCAGCCTTGTCCGCTCTTCGGGACTGGAACCCCGTCTCAGCCCCACCACACCCACGGTCCTCTCTCTAGCCCGACCTCCCCTGAGCTCCAGACTCGGGGTCCGGCTGATCCTGGAATCTCTGTGCGGGAGGCTCTGGGCGTCTCACACTCAGCTTGGCCACGCTGCACCCGACTGTCCCCACACCTGCTCCTGCCTTGTTCCTCATCTTGGCTGAGGCTGCTCATTCTTTCCGTTAATGGCTTTAGTCATAGTCCTTAGTCATCCTGGATTCCCTGCTTTTCGCTTTTCCTCCAGTGAGGGTAGCCTGTCTGTCCCAACTTGAGACCTGTCCAGAATTTGCCCACCTCCCCTCTGCCTCCCCCACCCGGTCCAGCCCATCTACTCCTGAAGGACCAGCTCATCTCCCCCCCCCCACCCCCGCTTCCCCCAGTCCGTCCTCCCCGTAGTGGCAGCCAGAGGGCGCCCACGAGCACCCAAGTCGGATCCCCTCCCTCTGCCCACAGCCCTCCAGGGCTCCCACCTTCCTGTGGGGAAAAGCGCAAGTCCTCCCTTGCTGGCCTGACCCCTCACCCATCACCCAAGCCAAGGCCCCCCATCGTCCTGGTCACCACTTGCCTTCCCGCCAGCCTGACACGTAGACACCCAGCACGTGAGTTTCTGTTGCGGCTAAACAAATCACACGGCCTGATCTAAAACCACACTCTGGAGGTCATGAGTCTAAGATGGGTGTCACGGGGACCAAACCCAGGCATGGGCAGGGCCGGTTCCCCCCGAAGCCCCAGGGAGACCCCTCTCCTGCCTTTTCCGCCTTCTGGAGGTGCCACATCCTGGTCCGCG